CAAGCAAGCAAGCAAGAAAGAGGGAGAAACACAAGATAAATGAAATGGGAAAAAAGAAAAAAGATTAGAAAATAGAATAATGAAGAGAAATCTACGCTTTGTAGCCTGGCTCGGTATTTTAATTTTATTCTGTTTTTCTGAAGTCAAACTGCTAGCTAGTTAAGGAACACTGCTCCACCCACACCCGGAAAATCGTGATCTCATCACGAAGTTGATCGACGACATCGAGCAACCAACACGTATACGGTTTGCGGAGAAATTGATGCCGTTCATGCAAGCAACTGAATGCGGTCAGGTCGGCTACAAAGAAATATTTGCGCTTTCAGATAGAGACAGTCTACGAATGAAGACAAATCAAGAAAAAAGGTAAGTCATGAATTGATCACTTTAATCTCTCCTAAAAATGGAGAAAAGAATAGAGAAGTAAAGGAGGAGACATAATTTCGATCATTATTTCAGAATAGACATCAGGAGGAAAGACACCTAAATCTCACAGAGATGGGCTTCCAAATGGAGATGAACCCAACATTGGACTCAAACTGAGACCCATATGCGTGCCAACCAGGGCATTGAATGGTTCTCTCCTGTGAATCAGACAAGTCGGTCATCTCACTCTCCGAGTGTCTGCTGTACTCCGGGACAAGAAGTTAGTGGGGTAAGACGAGTTCGTGAAAGGTCCTGCATCGCCAGCGAGGTCAAGTCCCAATCGACTTTTTTTTCGCAAGTATTGTCTCGCACTTTCAATTAATTATTTTCCTGAACTTCAGGGCCCGGAGGCACGTTCGGAGAAGGGTTGTTTTTTGGGGCGATATTTGCACTAGGATGTTCTTGGACCGCGTGCAGAGATCGTCGGATCGTACCATATGGTTGTAGGATAAGTGCAGGGAGCACTTCTCAGGCCATTATTGACACCAATGGGATGTGAAGCAATTGTCTGGACATATACAATCTCTCGTTCAGCAGCGGTAGTCCCACGATCGAATTGTGAACGGCGTCGACGTTGTTCGTCCCGATATTGCTGTCCGACACGTGGTGCGAACAATCCTGGTGACATGATTTGTTAGCAAACTCTCATATTGTCCTAGAGATATATGAACTTACCAATGTGTTCAGCATTTTCGATGCTGCGACGCATTTTCGAAGGATTGTCCGGTCCGGGAAAACGATCTTCTGTGCCAGCAAGAGGCCCAGTGCCGGTGTGGAAAATCTACACTCGTTATTAGTTTTCGTGTTATCTAGCCTCATGTTGATTATGCCGCGCTGACCTTTGGACGAAACGATGGATGTTCTAACATGACCGAACTATTTCGGAATTTCTGTATAAGGCAATCTTTGCCCTGAATCGCTGTATTCAGATGTTAGAATGCCCAACCTCGTCGTTCAGCAGGTGGCACCTACTAGCATACGATACTTCCGCGACTTTGTCACTGTTAAAGCAGTTCCTAATTGATTGTCAGCGTATGTTAACAGAGAGGGTAGGGGCGTCTCGTACCAGGAACGCCCAGCGCGCGTTTTGACAAACTATTGTTTATTCAGTAAAATGGGTGGCAAGAAGGGGACAAGGGGGCCTGACATCGATTATATCAATGGGCTGACAATTTGTTAGCCACTTTTCGAACAGGGATAGGGGACAACAGGTTCCAAGACTTACGTCTTCGAAATTAATAAAAGCATATCCGACGCTGGCAATAATGTGAGTATGATCAGGTCAATAAGGATCTGCGCGTGGGTAAAGTAATTGACTCACTTGCAGTTGTTCGCAAAGTCTAGAAGGCTGAGAGTTAGCTTCATCTTGCAATTAAACCAAGAGTTCTCCTTCTTACCAATACGCAAATACATGAAGTCGTACTTCCCGTGGCTGGTCTCGTCAACGATCGTCTTGAGCATAGTCTAAGCATGTCAGATGCCGTGCCGCTTCCGTTGGCAAGCGTTGGACTTACTTGATCGATTTTATTCGGGATATTGCGGAGCATGATCTGAAAATTTAGCAGGTCGGTCCCTAGATCATGACAGCATAACCAATCATACATACAGTTGTTCTGACATCTAAGCCAAGGCGTATCCTTTCGATATCAACGGCGTTCTGGCTAATAACACGGGCATCAGGATAACGACTGATCTCGCGCCGAGGAGAGTGCAAGTTTTTTTCTCCTGCCCTGGACATCCAATCCAAAAGGCCGGCGTGCTCTCCTGAAGGAACAGTAGAGCGGCCGGTGGGGCTAAGCTCCATATAAGGCGTTCTGAACGGGCGTGTTGGGGCAGACGGTGAGCTTCTATGGTATGAAATACCATAGCGTGAACCTCCATCCTTCACTGGACATGGGCTCGGCAGAACATTGAATGGTCTGTCTTCGGTAACGTCGGGCTTGAACAGAGCAATCTCCAGAATACAATCCTTTATCGAATGATGCATCAGCATTTACTCTGACACTTTTACAAAACTAAGCGGACCGTGGGGAAATCGCGGAATGTGAAAAGCAACACCATACAAAATGTTTCACTTACATCGACTGTGGTGCCGTTTAGTGTCACCATTGCATTATCAGCATCACGCGTGTTATAGAACTCGAGGTGGAACTCGCTGACATTGTCCTGTCCCCTGGGAAGTAGATCGAATGCCTTGAGGTCCCCAAACGTCGTCGCAAGTGTCTGTAGGGAGCGTGCTACAGTATGCGAGTTGAAAGTGGGTTTTCGGCTGTCGTAGTACACAGACACAATCAAATGCCCTTCATAATCTGATGTCTGCTGGAGAAGAGATGGCTCGGAATGCTGCACATATTCCTTCGCAGTAAGTGGAAAAACACGCCATTCAGGTCGAAGAAGGCGAACCTTCTCGATTGCCTTCTTCGCCTCACGACTATCTGCAAATGCAACATACACTTTGCCCAAAGAGCTGAGTTCATTAAGAACTGGTCCTCTGAGAGTTGCAAACTCCCGACGCTTTTGCAGAGTTAGCATTCTAGTACATGAGCAGCTAATCTGAAAACTTACATTGAAGAAACCAGCCAAGGACATGAAGTTAAGACTAGCCGGAACATTTTCGATAACAAATGCGCGGCTACGTTTGTCGTCGTCAAATTTTCCGGCGAAAATGCCAGCTGGACAGCCATTTTGAGCGATTGGAGCACGACCAATAGGCCCATAATTCGGTAGGCCCTGCTCATATACTTCCCCTGGTCCGCTTCTGGCTCCGCGGATTTCAACATTAGCTTGAGCGTTCAAAGAGCCGATATTCGAACGGCCGCGAACTTGGATATCACTGGCAGCACTGCCGGCTAGCCCAATAGGGGTGAAGCTTGCTGCGGTTGGGGACAGCTGCACGCGATTAGATGTGTTTAAAGGCACCAAAAATGGATCGGCTGGGTGCCTAAGCAGTGTTAACAGAGAAGTATATTCGTTTTGTAGTGCACTTACACTGTGTACAGTCTGCGGAATCCAGCGTCGCCGAGGGAGGTAGCAACACCGGTTTCAGGACGACCTTTAGATCGTACATCCTCGGGTGAGAAGGCTGTAAGCTTGGTATCGGGGGATCCATTGGGCGAGATTCCATCGTTCGTCGAACAGGGACTGCTCAACCCACGAGAGGAGTTGTTGGCCCTCATTACAAGAGAACGAACTGGTGTGGGAACAATGTCAAGCTACTGAGCCTTCAGCAATAATATGACAGCTGTTTCTGAAAACAATGAGCAATTTGCCAAGAGTATAAAGATGCTTGCGATTACAGCTCAATAAAACAAGGGTAGGAATCGAGGGAAGTGGCACTTGTCTTAACCATTAGAGGAGCATGGGGAAATGGCCTGACTTTGAGAGATTTCAAGAAAGTTGACAAAGGAGGAGATGGCACAGAATAAAATAAAACAGTTAACAGAAACAGCATGAGAAGATGAAGAGCAACGCCCCGGCAACATCAACGGGGCTACTATGTATACAATTGGTCATCGCACATGAGTGGTATAACAACAATCGCCAGGGTAAACAGGCCCTAACTATATTAATTTCCAAAAGAAAACAAGCATCATACTATTATCTTCTAAGCCTCACCATTTATAACAGAGATACTGTTATCCTAGGTCAGTGTTAGAGCACTTCTTAAAGGCAATAGGGACCTCACAGGGTATAAGCTAGTATCATACCCTTTAAGTAGGTTAATATATTTAAGAGAAACACACATATCGCATGATCTGCATCTCGTTCAGGGTTTATAGGAAATGATATAGCCTAGACAAAGAGTAAATAAAAAGGAGGCAGTCATGTTGGCGCCTAATTACTATCCTTATAGAAAGTAATTCTGACTAGTATTTCATGGTATTGTCAACCAACCCAGCTAATGAAGATAATTAGTTATATGTAGGACTTATATCTTTCCCAAGAGACCTACCTGGCTATAGATGAGGCTGGTGCACTTGTGGTAGGCTGGCTTTCATTTTCCTCCTTTGATCCTCTTAAAGCCATCTGTCTCAATTGAAGGATGTCCTCTTTTCTTTGCACTTCAGTAAAATAAGATTGGAGACCAAGGTCCTACAGATAGAACCAGCAAAAGTGAGGAGTTCATAGCTAGTTTCTAGGCTGAGGATGTTCACTCCATAATTTCAACATATTCATGTATACATCATTATCATTGTTGTTGTTTTAGGGTTAAAGTAACTTAAATAGTTAGTGCTTAATATCTCAAAGACAAGCGCACGGACCATTATAAAAATGGAGCTCCTTTACTTTATCCTGACGTAGGCCCTTTAGCCAGCTTTCTAGAGATGTAAAGATAAGATACAAACGTTCATAGTACATGCACTAAATATCTAGGTCATCTCTACACGCCTGCACACAACTTAAGAACTATCAACATAAATCTGCATTTTCATGCTTTCTAGCTTCTAGAAAGTATACCTATTACAGGGCACCTGTGCTGCTCACCTATATTAGCAACCTAGGAAGTTGACCATCCCTACACCACCTCACTTGACAATCAAGGTTGCGCAGACAAGGATATTAATACATTGAATATGCCGTCAATGGTTCCTTCGCGTAGTGAACCATCAAATGTGCTGAATTCAGTGAGTTCAAGACAGCAGGCGTCCCATATCTAAGCGCTAATTCAATGCATCATAGATCATCATCTCTCCATCGGACACGGATTATATTGATCAATTAATTCCCTCAATCAAGGAGTATAGCGTCGGCAATCGAACGTCTCAATTATTGCAATCATTGTCCAAGTTCGCCAGCGATAAAGAAGCCGAGATAGAAACGATATGCAACACAAACCATCAGGAATTTGTGTCTTCAATCAATCACCTTCTGCGTATCAGAGAAGGAACAGTGAGCTTGACCGCGGAGATCCTTGACCTGAACCAATCTATCCAAGCTAGCACCGAACGTCTCGCCGATCAAAAGAAGGCTCTGGTAGAGTCGCGCAGTCACCGACAGAATATTGATGAGACATCTCGCGCTATCCAGGACTGCTTGGAGGTGCTACGCCTGGCTAATCAAGTTCATGATCTGTTAGCCAAGAAAAACCACTATGCAGCTTTACGGGCGCTCGAGGAACTCCAAAATGTGCACCTCAAGGACGTGACCCAATATAAAATCGCGGACATGATTCAGCGCTCAGTACCAGCGACCCAGCGAGCGATAGCGGAGGCCGTGCTATCTGACCTGAATACTTGGCTTTACAGAATCCGCGAGATGTCTCAGTTTCTCGGAGAAATAGCTCTTTACCATACAGAATGCCGGAAGACAAGACAAAAGGAGAGGGCAGAGAAACTACCATACCTCAGACATTTCAAACTGAACTCTGCTATTGAGCTGGTTTCGGATGAGCACGAAGAATACGATTTATTACAGAATGAAGAACTGCAAGTTGACTTCACGCCCCTGTTTGAATGTTTACACATCCATCAATCACTGGGGCAGATGGACAAGTTTCGGACGGAATACGCTAATACCCGTCGCCGACAAAAAGAGCTTCTAATTCCCTCTTCAATAACTTTGATTGACGAGGACGGGGCTTGCCTACACAACCTTCTAGAAGAAATGGCAGGCTTTGCCATCGTAGAGCGTGCTACCATGAAGAGAGTGCCAGACTTGAGGTCATCTGTCGACGTAGAGTCACCCTTCTCCTGACCATTTGCTCAGCATGAATTCTAATATTAGCTTGTGACTAGGTTGATGAGCTCTGGGATTCAATGTGCCAGACTGCCATGGGCCTCATTTCAAAAGCGCTTCCAGAAGTTGATAATGCTGAGAGTTTGCTCAAAATCAAAAATCTCGTTGCGTTATTTATGCAAACAATGAATGTTAGTCCATGATTTCGGAGCTATCCCTAATGTTCTTGCCCCTCCTCATTACTGACCACCGCTGGACACAGACATGGGAGTTCTCCGTTGGAAAATTTGATGAATTGCTCTTGACTTTGTTCAAGAGATATGCCGAACTTCTCAAGAAAAGATTCAGTGACGACTTCCAGGAGGTATGCTGCAGTATCATGATCGACTTGTCATCGCTAATTGAATCGTAAGATCGTATCCACGGACGATTATATGCCCATGCCGATACAATCGTTGGATGAGTATGACAAGGTCCTCAATGTCAGCTGGTACAATCCTGAGAAGCCAAGGGAGGAACAAGTGTACATCCACAGTCTCCATTGTGAGAATTGCGTTCTCTTCACTAACTTTACTAGGTTTCCATGTGTTCTGCCCTTTTCTCAAATGTATCCCTTGTGTTGCATCGACATCCGCAACTTCTTAAACCAGTTTTATTTCTTCGCCAATGAAGATTTCTCCCATCCGCATATGATAGATGATACTCTCAAAGATGTCAGTCACACATGAGTTCGAAAACATAGAAAGTACTATTCTGACGGTTACAGGCTTTGGATGAGCTTCTTTCAAACCAAGTTTGCGATACTCTTGTTGAGCGTCTTTCTTCGCAATATTTGGGCCAGATTGTTCAGATCTTGATCAATCTGGAGCATTTTGAATCAGCGTGCCGTGAGCTCGAGGAGCTTCTCGCCGCGGCTCGATCCCAAGGTGCTGCGGGCGGTCCGATATCCTTAAGAGCGACGGAGAAATTCAGAAGCAACAAAAAATCAGCAGAGAAGCGAATTTTCGAGGTCGTCAATTCCAAAATCGATGATCTCATTGAAACTGCAGAGTATGACTGGATGGCACTCACGCCTCCGACAGAGCCCAGCAATTACATGCAAACGCTGACCCGATTCTTGTCCAATATAATGAACTCAACATTGCTCGGTCTCCCAACAGAAATCAAGGAACTCATCTACTTCGATGCTCTCAGCCACGCGGCGAACATGATCTTGGTAATACCATATAATTTCTTGATATAAGAACTGGCTAATCCCTGCTTCCTCGACAGGCACAGCCGCTCTCCTCAGACGTAAAAAGCATCAATCCCAATGGAGTGATGGCCCTTGCGAAAGATGTTGAATATCTGTTTCAGTTTGTTGACAGCTTGGGTGTGCCCATTCTTCGGGAGAACCTCGACGAATTGCAACAGACTGTGCATCTAATGCAGGCGGATAATATGGACGAGTTTTACGATATTTCTACAAGAAATAAGAAGTATGGCCGTGTGGATGCTATCAATGGCCCTATCCTCTTAGAAAAGTGCGTCTATCCATGGCCAAATATCTCGGAGGTGCCGATTACTGATTGTATTAGACTTACACGCACTGTTCAAAGTTCGGGAAAGATTGATAAGTTCACAACACTTTCCTCAAGGTTCGGCAAGAAGACTTGAAACGTTCAAAATTGGACGTCTCGAGATTCCTCTCACTGACCTGAACAAGTCATCTCCCCGATCAACCCCTTACTTCTAGCTTAAATAAAATTAGGGCCCGGAGTCGATGTTAAGCATACTGCGAACCACACTGTCTGACTCCATTGGAAACTCCATGGTAGTGATAGGCACAATATCCATCATAATACTAGCAACAAAACTATGAGCACGGCGCCGTAACATGAACTTCCAATATACTCGTTAACCTACCCATGAAGACTTGAACCTCTGCAAATAATCACTTTCAGAATGAACACGGTTAGCTGAATCGCGTACCGAAATGCCGCATAGCGGACTTCAAATATGTTGAGCAGAGTTCTGGCATACCTGCTGTGGCGGAAGATGTGGGTAAGGATTGTACATTCCTTCAAAGATTTGGGATTGCGGCTGTCCATACGCGGCCGTTGGATCAGACTGAACGGCTCCGCCGTACATCGTTGGCTGCCGATATTCTTGGTCTTGTCCAATGCCATGCTGTCCCAGAGAACCGTAATCTGGGGGACCCATATGGTGGGGGGGATGTTGAACACCATGTTGAGAAGGTGGCAGTTGGGCACCTGTTGCAGTGGAAGGAGCTGCAGCACCTGCGGCTGCCTGGCTCGATCTTTTCGCATGCGATGTTGCCTCTTCACGAGGTACTATGTCAATGAGGAAATCAAACATATCAGATTTGGATAAGGCTGCTGCGATATCTGATCTTTGCAACGTGCGTCGCTTGTTATCTTCAGCATGTATCCAAGCCCGCATAGTGAGTTCTGTAATGAAAATATCGCAGCCTTTCGCAAATAATATAGGGGCCTCCGCGGAGATCATCTTCACCTCAGGATCTGCCTTCATGACCTTTTTTATACGGGCCAGTGGCAATTGGTGAATTTTGTAGTCATGATTATCCGATTCAAGATGGTTGATAATGTGTTGCCAGTAGGTCGTTAGTATGTCGCGGGCTGTGCCTTGTAGCCCTTGATTGACCTTTTTCTATCATCAGTATAATGAAAATCAATAGGTTTGGTTACTTGCATTCGCCCATGCCCCCGTATAAAGCTCGGCAACGGGGGCATACCCCTGCGCTGAAAGCTGTCATATTGCAAGTCAGTTTTTATCACGAGCTAGATAATGGTTGCGCTGATTCGAGTCCACCATACCGCAGCACTGGCACCTACAACAACGCATTAATTTCCACATTTGATGAGATGTTGGGAACATAGGATCTATTTGAACAGATACTACTCACCATAATGTCCGCCGTTCCTGGTGTCATACACTGGCTGCTGTCTACCTTGCTGCTGTCCGGTACTCTGCGAAGACTGTTCCATGTCCGAGATGCTCTGGCAGCGACGAAATATATTGAAGCGTCAAGTACAAGGAAATGAAGCACTTCAAGACGTTGAGACAACAGTGGTTGTATCGCGATATGTTTCTCCCCAAGGCGTTGCTGGGTGACTGACGGTACGAACCGGTAGGCGGTTCTGATTTCTGTGAATATAATAGATCGAAATAACAATCGCCAATTTTCTTCTCCGGGTTCAAGATGCAGAATAGTATTGCAATAGGTTGCGAACTGTCGAAATGTAACTGCTTGGGTTACTACGGAGATGTCGACGTCAAAGGAGCGCGCTGGAACAGGCGCCAAGCATTACGCATACCAACCTACCTATGCACTATGTGTGCTGTCTTTCTCTACAGTCTAGTAGGGTCCACACTCCACTAACTACATTAGGACCTCGATGGGACTAACAAATTGGACATGGTAAAGTACACATATCACCAATACCGCGACAAAAATTCAATTCCGAGCTGTTTGAACACTTCGGCCAGATGGAACTGAGGGGTAAGCGGTATCTTCGCTCGAAGGCAACAGGTGATGGAGACGAGGTAACCGGTTGCCCCTAGTCTCATATCTTTCTCATTGATGCGTTTACGGTTCTCCTTACACTTTCAGGACGAGATCCGATACCAACCTTATGTTCTTCCGTCCTATTATATCACCCTCTTCCTGGTTTGCCCAACCACCTACAGCGACCTTTTAGTTGTGCAGCTGTCAAAAGGGAGCTCCGCCACTATCGAAGGTAATAACATTACATGGGGTACCAGTAAGTACCTTGTTAAATGACAGCAAGACTATCTTATGTAATATGAGTTTACACATTCTTGAATGTATGTAGTTACCTTAGATACGGAGTAGAGTTTACATCTCTATTGCTGGAATAGTTGAGAGTGACTGCTTCCTATTAATGGATTAAGAATGAAACCAAATTATATGTGTTTTTATATGATAATCCATACGCACTAAGTCCATATCTAAAAGAGTAGTTGCCTGAGATACTGACAGAGTCATGCCTGAATCATTACTCAGATTGGCTATAGTTAACTTACATGCAGGATGATGACTAATACACTCGCATCACGGGATTTAACTATTCCCAACATAGCTAAACGGGACTTGTTTTCCACCATAAATTTTTTCAAATCTTTCCTCACTGCTTTGCTTTACCTCCTCTTCACCAAGTTCCCACGAATATGCAAGTAGAAGCATGTGGTAGAGTTGCACTGCATTCTCTTGAAGAGAGTGGCCTGAGTGATCAAGATATCGAACAGCTGCTTCTTGAGGCCGAGTCTCGATTGCAAACATGTAAAGTTCAGCCCACGAGCACTTCGCAGGGCCAAGCCATTGGCCACTTGGAAAAGCCCTTCTCGAAGTAAGTGTCTTCCTTATCACTCAAGGTCAATTGGAGTTGTTGCTGATGGTGTGGTTATTACAGCATTCCGAAGTTAACAACTGACTCCTCATTACAATCTTATATTGCGCAGCGAGACGATGTTGCCTTAGCTGATACAAAGCGCATCATTGATCCCTTGCAAATGAGCTTATCTAATAAGAGCCTCACTCCTAAACCCCAACAGGCTTCTGTCAACCACTCAACTCATAAGGTAAGATTCGTGATTATCTTGTCTCGCCCTTCCCCCATCCATGCTATGAGGAAAAATTTCCCACTGCGTAAGCCCTTGATGCAGCTTCAACAGTCCGTATTGGCCTGCGCTGCGCCAATGAGAGCAAAATTTTCATAGTTACTCTGAGCATAATCTATCCACATTTAGCTCGTCTTGTGACCTATTGATGGTTCTTTGCTAATATCTTTCACAGGAAAAGCCGACCGCCGGTGCCGATTGGTTCCATCTTCCAAAGACAGAATTGACAACAGAGCTCAAAAGAGATCTTCAACTCATCAGGATGCGTTCCGTATTAGATCCCAAGAGGCATTACAAGAAAGAAGGCGGCAAGGCACAGCCTCCGAAATACTCTCAGTTGGGAACAATCATTGAGGGTCCAACGGAATTCTTCAGCGGTCGCATTGCCAAGAAAGACCGCAAGAAGACCTTCGTTGAAGATGCATTGGCTTCGGAGCGGGAAACCAAACGCTTTGCGTCCAAATACAGGGAGATTCAATCATCGAAGCAAAGCGGCAAAAGATCATTCTACAATAACCTGCGTGCCAAAAGAAACCGTCAAAGAAAATGAGACAAATTTCGCATATGTTTAAAGACATAAATCCAGTGAAGGCTTCGATACAACGGTCGAGTTATTCTGCTGACTTGCCATTTCCTAGCCACTTGTGAAGAGGTATCGTCATGATGATCGTCTCAGAAATTGCTCTTGCACGTTCCTTATCCAATCGTGGCATTTGCTTCGTGCGGCAGCCCGAATCTTTGATCCACTCACGGAGTGGACGCTATCGGCGCCCATAGACATCTGATATGGCCCTCACGACGAGTTTCTGCTACCGTATCAATACCAATTCACGCAGATAAACCGCTCAATGGGGAGGCTTACCTGCATATCGATGGCTGCTGTCCGGCCAGCTTCGAGGACTTCTTCGTGGTTTGCCTTCCCTTCTTGCAATATGGAATCCAGCTCTCTCACGTCCTTGGCTTGAAGAAGATGATCATCTCCTCGGGGAACTGGAGAGAGGACCGCATTATTGGTTACCAAGCTGAACGCCAGTACCCTAATGCCGCAATGCCTCGCGACGATTATTTCTGGTACGGTTGACATGCCCACCAGATCAGCCCCAACTTGGCGAAGCATACGACACTCAGCTCGAGTTTCGTAACTGCKAATGATTAGTGCATGCTGCAGACGAATTTATGGTCGTGGAGAAATAGTTACTCACCTGGGACCCCCAACAAAGGCATACACACCCTCGTGTAGTCTTCGTTTACTGTTTTCGCTTGTCACTGCTTTCCATGCCTGGTGTGCATGGCGACGGAGCTCGAGATCGTATGCGTCAGACAGCGCAGGGAATCTGGGTCCGAATTCCTCCAGATTTGGCCCTCGCAGGGGATGTGTTCCTGCGAATCCTGCTGGGAAGATGTGCTGCAATTTTTCGACAGTGTCAGTAAGCCTACCTAGCTTGCAGCATCCTTACATGTTTATCAAACATACATCGTTGATGATCACGATGTCTCCTACCACATATTCGGTATTGAGGCCTCCGGCGGCGTTTGTTACTATTTATTTGTGCACGATTACTAAAAGTGTCTCGTGCCGGAGAAAGCGCGGGGTTCTCACAAACAATAGTCTCAATTCCAAGAAGCTTAAAAACCCGGATTGGAAATGTCACTTGATGTATCGAGTGGCCCTCATAGTAGCTGCATGCGAAATAAAAATATTGCCAATTTTCAGTAATAATATTCAACCGGGAATGAGTTGAGGGCTCTCACTGTGCACGGCCCACCATGAGAACGACTGGGATATGGTGGGCAAGTAGTCCAAAGACGAGTTTTCCCGCATGTCCGGGCACTTCAAGAGGTCAGAAAACAGCAGGTTGATATTGAGCTTCAGTGCTTCATTTTTACCTGTCAGACGAGGGAAATGGGGTATGGAAGAATATTCGAATTCTGCTCGCGGCTCATCATGGATGGTATTTGCAAGTTCTCCCAAACCGGAGCCACAAACAACTGCAACACGAGGGTGTTGTAGAGTTTCAGGTAGACGTTCCTTCAAGAATGAGAAAGCTTCAACCGCCTCTTCAAATAGTGACGACTTGTTTTTTGGTTCTTCTGGCAACATTTTGTGCTCTGGAATGGACTATCAGTGGAAATGTAAGGCGAGGAAATGAAGTTCCATTTTTCCATTTAGATGCATTCAATGAAATGTTCTAAAGCATTTCCTAGCTTACCCTAACTATGAAGAGGTAAGCGCCACTCCCAGAGGTATTGTAGATCCCAAAGCGCTAAGTTATTCACTCTCTCCACAAGCATGACAGTCTGTTTCACCCATGAGATGAGATGGGGTACATGCTCATTCTCCATACATTATAGGTCAAAAGTCTGTGCACACTTGAATTTTTTGAAAAAATCAACCATCTTTAATCCCATATTTCTCAACCACCATATGATTACAGTATAAAATAATAAACCATAGGATAGTAGATATTAATATTTAGTGTACCAGCCCCTTGCCTGGTATACTACACGCAATCTATGTGGCATTGAGTATATAAGATAGTTAATTACCTCCTGTGGGATAGTATTCCATGCCTTATAGAGAGCATATCTAAATCATCTCTAATTAACCCTTAATCTACCTCCTAGAAAGAGCTTAGGATAGAGTTCTAAAAGCTTCTTCTTTAAGAGGTTCTAGAGGTGTTTACTTAGGTTTAATTGTTTAAATTAGGTGAATAGGAAGGCTATTCTATTACCTAGATTCTATAAGATTTAAACTACTCCTGTGCCTGCTGGGAAGTATGGATTTTAGTATTATCTTATTAGAATATATCTAGCTAGGTTTATAGATTAGAAGGAGGCTATCTTTAAGGTATTTTAGATAAAAATTAGTGCTATACCCCCCCTGAGGAGCTAGCTTATTATAATTTATAATAATTAGATCTAAATAGCCTCTAATTTAGATTACACCCTATATTATCTGTAAAATATCCTTTCTATAGTTAACTAGATTAACTAGATTATTCTGGTATACCTTATTAGAGAATTAAAAGATAAATTAGGTGGAATTATTTAGCTTTCTTTAGACTAAATATTTATTAGAAAATATCACTTCTTCCTACTAATGGAAGTTAAGCTATATATATATAAATTTATACTATTCTTTAACTATTTTAGGCTTTAAAGGGATTCTCTTCTTACTCTTCTACTTCTTAAGGTTATATTTCCTTAAAATATATTAAATAGTTAACTTAGATACCCCCCCTAGGGTGCTAGTAACCAGGGCCTTCTAGCTTATAGAGGGCCTCTGCTAGACCATATAGTAGATATAATACTTAGTAGAGGTACTAAGCTTATAGGGTCTACCAGTGTAAGGCCTTAATCTTAAGGTTTAGTGCTATTCATAGCATTTCTTAGTATTATAAATAGTATAGTGACTAATACTAAATTCCTTTACTAGTTATATAGGTAATCCCTGGTTCTCTAGGCTATATAAAATAGCTACATATAATTCAGAAGATAGTTCAGCTTTAGGCCTTCTATTTCCACTAATTTTAGTCCCAAAAGACCTCATTTTAATGGAATAGATAGTGGTTGAAAAGAATGTTGATTTTTTAACGCGTTGTGGATACGCGGAGTATGCACAGACTTTTAACCCCCTATGTATCTATAAGTAAACTTACCTACTATCTAAGTTCCAATCAAGCAGCAATCTTGCCTCAGGTGCCAATAATCCATCACTTAGAACAGAATGGGAATCCAGAATAGCAGGTGCTTCTTAGGCATTGGTAATATTAATCTGCTTCACCAACATGTGATTTTCTTCAGCCACTGACTTGAGTACAGCCTAGCTAGTCTATACATAGGCGTTGGTCTTATTGCTGCACAGTTTCACTACTCTACATGCACTAGGTACATGAGCGCAGCCAGATATCTCCTCCAAGTTAGAGATTTTGTTAAGTAGAGCTGATAGTTCTTCAAGAATCACAGACTATGTCATAAAACATAGGATACAATGATTGACCGCAGTTGACCCATGCATAGTGTAAAATATCTGTTGGCATGGAGAAGACAGTGGAGGACATCCACCAACTTAAATATTGGATGTAAATGGACTTATAAATTTTGAATTGCCTGGTGAGCACTCAGCAAACAACAATGATGGATGAAGTTAAGTATAGCAACATGTAAATGTTCTGGAACAATAATATTAATAAGGCGTTGACTTGTCACTTGAGTACTATTATTATTTGGATGGATGGAGGGTAAGGTAGTGTTGCCTATGGTACCTTAGACAGGCGGTCAGGAGAATATCTAATTGACCAGATCTTCTGCTTTAGTTGTGTCTGGCAGAAAAGCCAAGATATCTCCGCATCTGCGCAAAAAGTTGACAGGATTGTGTGTCTGTGAACCACCTATCAATCATCCTGCCCAGATACACTATGTCAATTCCCCTCGGTCCACGTTTTCCTTTACGAGCTGCTAGGCATCTGAAGGTATTCAGAAGTGAATTCCCATTTCGCAGTGTGGCCTGTAAAGCTGATCTTACTGAAAAAAGTTCGCCGTATCCGCCTCTCGCAGCATCGCCTCTTCAGCCGAGCTGGACATCGCAAACTCTAGGTCGTCTGAGTCTCGCAGCGATCCAGTCACAAGCTCAGAATTGTTAGAGATGCCTTTTCACCTGTTGGATTCATTTTTGGTTGGTAAAGTTCCTGGACTAACAAACCATGCTCAGATCAAGAGATCCAGCACCTTCGTCAGAGCCACGCGTCAAAGAATGGTTGGTAATCTAGTTCTCTGCGAGCATTCTATGATGCGCCATGCTCATCGGTAGTTAGGTCTGAGCGCTTGGACAGTGTTGGTCAGAAGGCCCGACTCCCGCGGAGCGTACAAGCGTTGTATCTTCGGCCACTTCGGAGGAAACCTGAATTTGGTCTGCCAGTCTGCGATCTTCAACTCAGGTCTTATAGCGTTCGCAACTTGGAGTTTTTTGTTGACTTTGCTGTGCGCGCTGCATATTACCTGGAACTTCCTGTTTCGGGGCCGGTTCCTCTGCCACGGATCGTTGAGCGCTGGACTTTCCCGCGAAGCAATTTCGTTCACAAGAAAAGTCAGGAGAACTTCGAGCGAATAACCCTCCGCCGGTTGATTCAGATCAAAGATGGGCATCCGCAAGCTGTACAGGCATGGCTGGCTTTTTTACGTAAACATGCGTTTTATGGCGTTGGTATGAAAGCAAATGTGTGGGATCACGAAAGCCTTGGTATGGTCTCCTCCCCTAATAATTACTGCCTGACCGGAATTCGTGTTAAGACTATATGCTTACGGAGTGTTGAATCTAGACGTGGCCCGGAACATGGATGAAGCACTGCCCGATATCGAGAAGTCGCTTGAACCTTACCTCTCACATTTCGGTCATCGGAGTGACGGATCGGATGAGAGCGCAGTATTTGATCTTTTAGAAAATGAGCGTTTCACTCATAACAAGAGTCCCTTGACAGACATTCGCAAGGATTGACCTCATGCTTGTGGTTAGGTTGGTTTTTGCTAAAAGTTCTCTTAGCATCAACGGTAATCAACCAACTTTTCACTGGGGCTGATCAACACGCGCAGTAATTTCATTAGTCATCAATGAGATATTCAAATCTGTAAGGCAGTATCAGTATACCTCTCAGCAAGATCCGGCTTATGTGTAGTACTCGAAGAATAGATGGTTGAGTTTTTAGCATCATGAAGTATCACGTGGTTTAAATATTTTGTCGGAGTGCTAAGCATTATATCCTTTCAGAATAGAATGCCATTCACACAAATACGGGTTGCACCAAAATTCCCATCTCAGTCAACAGATAGGATATGCAGGGATCCAATTGCCACAACAGTCAAGTTCTCAGAGTTCTGCGTGGAGCAAGGAGACCTCGCATTCATGCAGGAAAACCTGTGACGCCGAGAGAAGCTTTCCGCAGATGGAGTAGCTCAGACACGGCGAAATCATCTTCAGCTGCCAATCAGACCATATTCTCTGGGATTCAACCAACCGGTGTACCGCACCTTGGAAATTATCTCGGGGCTCTGCGCGAATGGGTACGGCTACAGAATGCTGCGAAGGACGGGACAAGATTGTTTTTCTCTATCGTCGACTTGCATGCGTTGACAGTGCCACAAGATGCCTCCCAGTTACGAAATTGGAGAAAAGAGACCTTTGCAACACTCATCGCCGTTGGCTTAGACCCGAATCGCTCAACGATTTTCTACCAGTCCGCCGTATGCAGCATTCATCTGCATTGTAAAGTTTACTGACCATATCATTAGGTCCATGCGCACGCCGAACTGTTTTGGATTTTGTGCACCATAGCCTCTATGGGATATCTCTCCCGAATGACACAGTGGAAGGTTAATATCCAGACCAATTGCCAACCTGGTTTAATGGTGAGAAAGAACACTAGCTGACGTCGTCCAGAGCAAGCTTCAGTTGCCTGATAACGCAAATTTGGAAGACTCGGCGGCGAGGTCAAGGTTACGATTGGGGTTGTTCTCATACCCTGTTCTACAAGCGGCGGATATTCTAGTTCATAGGTATGCCGGCAAATCATTGGCGCATTTTCACATTACTGATGTAGATCAGAGCTACCCATGTCCCTGTCGGAGACGATCAAAGGCAGCACCTCGAATTTTCGAGAAACACTGCGAATAGTTTTAATCATGTATATGGACCCATTTTCCCGTCACCAGAGGCAATTATATGTAAGTGGGTTTTGGTTCTTGCGGAAGGGCCCTGTGATGGGAAATTGACGACTATCAATAGCGCCTGCTAAGCGGGTTATGTCCCTCAAAGAACCGACTTTGAAAATGTCCAAGTCCCATACCGACAGACGCTCAAGGATCATTCTTACGGATTCGCCCGCAGATATCTCCAAGAAGATCAATGCTGCACTCACAGACTCGGAATTGACCATAACATATGACCCAGTGCGTCGGCCTGGGGTGGCGAATTTAATAGAGATCTTGAGTCACTTCGACGGACGAACTTGCCATGAGATAGCCATGGAATACCGTTCGGTCAGTCTTCGTGCTTTGAAGGAACATCTGGCCAGCACGTTGTCCAATCACCTTGAGGGAATAAGGGAGAAGTATCTCTCACTTGTAGGAGATCAGACTGGCTACCTTGATTCTATAGCAGAACAGGGTTGTGAAGCCGCGCGGGTCAACGCTGAATTGACAATGGAGCAAGTCAAAGTCGCCATGGGTTTGATTTAGCCCTTAATATACGTCGTCATTGTGCTCTGCAGGGCACGTATATAGGTTTGGTTAGACATACTTTGAGGGTCTGTTCATAATGATGGCCACCATTAAAAATTACCCATCACTATCACCTGACAACAACTCAACTGAATAAGCAATAAAATACATATATATATGTGAGTGTGTATATGTATATTTATAGTGTGTGTATAGCCGATCGGATCTCACTGGGATTATTGAAAGAAGTGGAGCCTATGGCTTAGAGTATATCCTGTGCTGGGATTGAATTCAAGAATCGCAGGCAGTGCACTGTACGTCACCTACTGAAGCAGGGATGCGTCATCCATATTGGACAATGGCTGCTGCCTACAGAGCCAGATTAGTAGGTAGGTTCACTGCGTGGAGAACACTAAAAAGGCCTAAGGGAAATGGAGCCCAGAGGAGCAGACAAAGATGAGTGGTATATGGCAAGCGAGAGCATTACCAGGAGTATGCAGTGTGCATGTCCCTTTTACATATGGTTCCATCGAGAAGCAAGTGCCTTACGGTAGCAGACTCCCTCAAAACATACTGGAATACTTTGAGAGTAGGCTCCTGGTAACCACCAGCAATGGGGATCAGTATTCAAATTGCAGCAACTGGACATGTTACATATCGTTATGTGTTACTAGCAGGGTTGTGCGTCATCAGGAGTACTTTTTAAAATCGCAGTCAGGATACGATATAATATTTAGGCGCTCCTTGAACATTGAATAAAATCAGTTTCCGCATTCTCCGATAGTGGCTGTTTGCGGCGATGGCTAAAGCCCAGACCTCGTGGCTCGGCTTCCAGGTTCTTAATCGATCCAACGGAGTACACTAAATCCTCAAGTGGGACTGGAAGAGCGCTACGGATTTACGATATTGCTTATTCAACTGATGATCATCCGGAATATTAGCAGTCCTCCCATTGGAACCATAAAGTTACTGAAAGTCTGAAAGCGACCAAGGGCCCACCATTGATGACGACAGCAGCCGCGACACCATGATATTTATGATGCTTGAAATTGTACCTATCCGCTCCTCCGACTGTGCTGGGTCGACCGAGCCTACTATTCCCGGGCAACTCTGGCCTGAAAAGCTGGGTAAAGCGATGTATGATCTGCTGTTCACCTTATTGTACCGGTACACGAAGGTGATTGACCCCTTGTTCTGTTTGCAAGCAATACTGGCAATATCATATCACAGAAGAGTAGGTCACTTCTACCATAGCCAATAGGTCATCATCCTAGAGGCGCAATACGGGCGTATGTGGCAAGGGTGACCTAGGCTTTGAAAACCTCCAGACTATATTCAGCTGATGTGCTATTCTCTCAACACCTGCTGATGAATGAGTTTCTACAGCTTCTGCGGCTTTATACAGTCTGGGCCCCTTCACTAGCAACTCTGCTAGTTGTACGACATAGCATCATAGCAGGGCAATCATGCGGCATATATTATCTCTCCTTTTTATTGTGTGTCTGACGATGAAACATGGTGCCTGCTTAACACTGCATCAGAGGGATGTTCCTGCTGTGGTCTCACTGGACATCAAGCGTAGCATTGTTTCAGACCCTGTGGCGAGGGACCGAGTTCGGCGAAAACGAGACAAGACAATTGGCCAAACGCTCGATAACGAGGTGAGTCGTGTACCCCCCGAAGTTGACTGTTCGGTTCATCGGTCGGATCATATTTACATTCAACCAGGAAACTCTGTACTTTTGCAACGTGACTCTCGGCACCCCTGGGCAAGCGTTGCGCCTAGTTCTGGACACTGGGAGTAGCGATGTATGGTGCAACGCGGCTAATTCAACACTGTGCTCGGCTTCGAGCGATTCCTGCAACATATCCGGTTCCTATGACCCTGCTTCCTCATCAACATATGCCTATGTTTCATCCGATTTCAATATATCATACGCTGATGGAACTGGCGCCGTTGGCGATTATGCAACTGATATACTCCATATTGGAGGGTCAACACTAAAGAACCTGCAATTTGGAATAGGGTACTCGTCTAGTTCTTCAGGTACGTCGACGCCAGCCTGAGATTGGACGAATTTCCGCTCTGCATGTACCTGCAGTGCTTCAGTGTAGGGAACTAATGCTGCTTTCCTTGATATAGAAGGCGTGCTAGGAATTGGCTACCCATCGAATGAGGTCCAGGTCGGTCGGTACGGCAAAGACGCTTACCCAAACCTTCCGCGAGCAATGGTCGACCAGGGATTGATCAAATCCAACGCCTACAGCCTTTGGTTAAATGATCTTGAATCAAACACGGGATCAATATTATTCGGGGGTGTCAATACAGAAAAGTATCTCGGAGAGCTGCAGACTTTGCCCATACAAAAGGTCAACGGGCGGTATTCGGAGTTTGTAATCGCATTGACTGGAGTTGCGTTAGACTCGGAGTCGCATCATAAAACTTACTCATCAGATGCCTTACCGGCGGCGGTACTGCTCGACTCCGGCAGCTCTTTGACTTATCTTCCTGACTCCATCGTTGAGAACATTTATAGTGACCTCAACGTCGCATATGAACCTTCGAGCGGGGTCGGTTACCTGCCATGCAGTTTGGCGGGAAAAAACATGAATATAACGTATACTTTTTCGTCCCCGAATATCACGGTTATGATTGACGAACTTCTCCTGGACGCGGGCGACCTTCGATTCCGGGATGGTGCACGTGCATGTATATTTGGGATTGTCCCCGCTGGAGACAGTACTGCGGTTCTCGGTGACACATTCTTGCGCAGTGCATATGTCGTATATGACATAGCCAACAATGAGATATCTATCGCCAACACAAATTTCAACTCGACGAAGGACAACATACTGGAAATTGGCGTTGGAACTGATTCTGTACCCAGTGCCACTCAGGTTTCTCATCCAGTCACATCGGTTGTAGCTGATGGCTCTGGGGCAAGAATTGGGGCGCCGACAGGTGCATCTTCAACGACAGTGCCGTCAGTAAGTTCAGCGGGCGCTTTATCAGCAGGAGTTGCAAGAGCCCAGAAGCAGCACCTGGCCATGGTCTTGACAGCTGTTTGGTGTGTGCTGAATTTGTGGTAACTATTTCTACTTCTCGTCCTCGGCGTCAGATGGCCATTCTTTTGCCCCCTGTTCCAGCTGATTGTAGATACCCCCGCAAATCAATTTCTCATTATCTTCTTTGGTACTAGACACACCTACCCCCCGAATCTTGATATTGCTTATTTCTAATTAGTTACCCACCGTCCACCCGCCCACGCAACTATATGGTCT